ATAATACATAAATAAAACAAAAATAATAAAATAACTAAAAGAGAGAAGTTATATATTCCTTTACAGGTAGAAATACCTAGAAGGGAGTGAAAAGAAAGAAAAACAAACCATAGGTCTAAAATAAAGAATACTGACAATACAAAAACTGTCTCTGAAAAAGTTTCAGTCTCTTATAAAGTTAAACATACATTTACAGTATGACTCCCCCTAGGTGTTTATCCTAGAGAAACAAAAACGTATGGCCATGTAAAGACCGTACACAAACGTTCACAGCAGCTTTATCTGTAATAGCCCGTACTGGAGACAACCCATTCCGAACTGTGGAATACTAGTTGGTAATAAAAATACATGGTCATGGGATGCCTGGGTGGCTCAGTCGGTTAAGCGTCTGCCTTCGGCTCAAGTAGTGATTCCAGGGTCCTAAGATCAAGTCCCTAATCAGGCTCCTTGCGCGGCGGGGAGCCTGCTTCTTCCTCTACCTCTGCCTACAGCTTTCCTGCTTGTGTTCTCTCTCTCTCTCTGACAAACAAACAAATACATAAAATCTTTAAAAAAAACAAAACATGGTCATAAAAAGGAACGAAACTTTGATAACACCCAGCAACCTGGGCAGATGAAACGCAGAGTGAAAAATCCAGCCTCCAAGGTCACATCCAGTATGATTCTAATTGTGTAATGTTCTTACGGTGAGGACACAGGAATGGTTGCTGGAGGCGGGTGGGGCAGAGGGTGTGCCTCTGAAGGATTGGTGAGGGAGCTCCTCTGGGTGATGGAATTGTTTGTATCTTGCTTGGGGTTGTAGATACACCAGTCCAAGCATGTGATAACATTTATAGAACCAGACACCAAACAAATGAGTGCTTGTCAAAACTGATGAAATCTGGATGAGGTGCACAGTTTTGTTATACCAATGTCAATTTCCTGGTTCTCAGTGTTTTCTGGTTATGTAAGATGTTAGCATTGGGGGAAACTGGGCGAAGAGGACACAAAACCTTTCCATACTTTTCCTTTTTTTTTTTTTTTAAGGGGCATGAGAGTGGGGGAGGGGCAGAGAGAGAGGAAGAGAGAATTGTAAGCAGGCATCCCGTTCAGTGCAGAGCCCTGTGTGGGGCTGGATCTCATGACCCTGAGATTACCACCCGAGCCGAAATCAAGAGTTGGATGCTTAACCGACTGAGCCACCCAAGCGCCCCTCCATACTTTTTAGGCAACACCTATGTGAGTCGAAAATTCTTTCAAAATGAAAAACGAAAACGTTCTCTCCAGTGTGGAGCGTGGAACCCAAGGCTGGCACTGAGGGATTGGGCCTGAAGTCATCCGGAGGCTTCTTTGTACCCACCTGCTGAGGGTGGGAGGCTGAAAACACAGTTGGTCTGGGGAATTCGTTCATTCATTCATTCATTCGTTCGTTTGTTCTGAACACCTTCTCTGTGTCAGGCTCTGTCCGGAAACAGCGCTAGACCAGACAGCCAGGCTCCGTGGTTTAGGCTTCAGCGTGGGGCCTAGGCCAGACCGCCAGGTTGAAATGTGGCCCTCCCCTCACTAGCTACGTGGCCAGCAGTGAGTTACATAACCTCCCAGGGACCATCCAAACTCTGGGGTTTAGTTGTTGTCCTTCTGATCTGTAAAACGAAGCCACTAACCATATCCACGTCGTGGGTGGTCGTGACGAACATGGGAACTGATTCAGTTATAGGCTCTTTAGTGACATGTTTAGGGGACTTGCTATGACCGTGGGGGTCACAGCTTCCTTTCCGGGGAGGCCAACATCAAATACACAAGGGGAAACACAGACATGGCATCCCCCCACCCCACACACACAAGCAGGGCGGCCTGATGGGACCTGGTAGTCGGGGAGAGGCTCAGCAGCCTCAGGGAGCATAGGAGGTGGCCCTAAGGAGAGGACTCAGACCAGAGAGACAAAGAAAGGAGAGATTCAGAGATACTCACAGAGACTCAGAAACCCAGAGATTCTAAGGCACACAGAAACTGAGAGATGTCCAGAGATCCAGAGTGACCAAGAGATCCAAAGATGCATATAGAGACACAGACACTGAGAGAGACCCAGAGATCCAGAGACACCTGGAGAGATCCAGAGACACCAAGAAACCCCAAGACACGGAGACACCAAGAGACCCCAAAATACCCAGATACCCAGAAATGCAGAGAGATTGAGAGACACAGAGATCAAGAGATTAATGGATTCAGAAACCGACAGAGACGAAGGGACGCAGAACAGGAGGGAGAGTCCCTAGGAATGAAAAGTCACACTGGCAGCCAGGGTCAAAGCCTGAGACTGGGAGCAAAGCCAAGACGGCTGCTGAGTGTCCAACAGTGAACAGTGGCACTGTGGCAACTGAGGTCCACAGACCTGGCCTCCACACTGGGCCCGCCACATTCCTTCCCTCCTTCCCTCAAACGTCGGCAGGTTGAGGCCCCAGTGAGCCTCAGTTTCGCATCTGAAAAATGTCAGTGAGAACCACAAAACCGACCTGGCAGCGGCAGATGTGTTGGTCATGTGACTTGAGCCCACTTATGTTGTCACCACTGGTGGGATTTGAAGCATAAATGATTCAACTTCTTTCTGGCCTCCATTTTTATTGAATACATATTTTATTTTATTTAAAGATTAATTTATTTGAGAGAGAATGAGAGCAAGAGAGTTCAGAGAGGGAGAGTCAGAGGGAGAAGCAGGCTCCCCACAGAGCAGGGAGCCAGATGTGGGGACTCAGTCCCAGGACCCCGAGATCATGACCTGAGCAGAAGGCACATGCTCAACCGACTGAGCCACCCAGGTGATCGTAAATACGTATTTTAAAAGTCATCCGTTAGCACCTCTCACTCATTAGGGTGGCTACCAACAACAAAACAGAAAATAGCAATGTTGGCCACAATGCGAAGTTAGAACCCTCCGCCTCCGTTTGCGCGACTGCAAAATGGTGCGGTGGCTGTGGAAAACAGTCTGATGCTTCCTCAAAGAATTAAATATAGAATTACCACCTGACCCTTCTCAGTGTACACCTCAAAGAATGAACAGCCAGGTCTCGAGAAATTTGTACACTTATGCTCATGGCTGCCTTATTCACCAGAGCCAGGATGGGGGAAACAGCCTATGTGCCCAACGGTGAATGAATGGATAAGCAAACTGCGGTCTATCCGCGGAACAGAATATTACTCAGCCTTAAAGAGTTAGGAAATCCTGGGCGCCTGGGTGGCTCAGTGGGTTAAGCCGCTGCCTTCGGCTCAGGTCATGATCTCAGGGTTCTGGGATCGAGTCCCGCATCGGACTCTCTGCTCAGCAGGGAGTCTGCTTCCCTCTCTCTCTCTGCCTGCCTCTGTCTACTTGTGATCTCTCTCTGTCAAATAAATAAATAAAATCTTTAAAAAAAAAAAAAAGAGTTAGGAAATCCTGACATATGCCAGGGTGCGGATGAACCCTGAAGACATGCTAAGCGAAATAAGCTGGTCACAAAAAGACAACTCCTGTGTGATTCTCCTTGTAGGAGGCCCCTAGAGTAGCTGAATTCACAGACATAGAAAGCAGCATGGTGGTTACCCTGCACTGGGGGAGGGGAAGGGGAAGGGGGGGTGATTGTTTAATAGGTGTAGACACCCACTTTTGCGAGATAAAGCGTTCTGGAGATGGATGATGGTCATGTTTGCAAAACAGTATGAATGTACTTAAATCTACTCAAAAATGGCTAAGATACTAAATTGTACGTGATGTGTATTTGACCACAATAAAAAAAAAATGGGGGAAAAAGTGCCACCTGTCAAATGTGGAAAGTAATAAAGGTGCTGACTGACTGTCCCATAGGATTGTAGAGAGAGTAAATGACACAGTGAGGGCGGAAAGGCTTAAGGTGCGCACCAGGCTGGGGGCGGGGTTGGGGTGGGGTGGGGTGGGGTGGGAGGGGCTTGCTGGTCTTCGGCAAAGGCCTCTTGTCCTACCTTGGAGCCACTGCCTAGGGTCCCCCTGCCGCTCAAGGATCTTGGAAGGGGGATGTGGACTCTGGGAATTCTCATGCCAAGACACTCTCCTCTCTGGCTCCTAGGTTGTGAGGTTCCTGGATCTGAAACAAACACAGCCCCGGCCAACAACCCAGCCCCACCAAGGCACAATCAGTGAATGGTGCCCAGGCCTCATTTCCGGCCTGCCCCTTGGCTCCACCTTTATGAAGAGGTGGGGAGGGGGCCGTGTTGCCATTCTGGTCCTGGAGTCCCGCCGTCCTGCCTTTACTCCTCTTGCAGGTGATGAACCCTTGGAGAAGCTCTTACCTTGGGAGGCCGCAGCTGGGAGGCGAATGTGGAGACCAAGTTCACTCCACGCAGAGGTGGGTGGTGATGGCCCAAAGCCCCACCCCTCCCCAGGAAGGGGTCTGATTGGTGGAGGGCTGCAGGGGCGGAGCAGCGCCAGGAGGTATATAAATGCCGGCAGGGGGGCTGGAGTCATGCTGTAGGTAATCCCCTAGCTCAGGTAAGGCTGTTTGGAGAAGGGTGGGCTGCTTGTGGGAGCCTAGGTGGAGGTCCCCAGGTTGGTCACAGGGTGGTGCGCGGCAACTTCTGAGCCCCGGAGTTGGCGTCTCTCCCCGTAGCATGAAAATTTTGAGGTGACCCCACCTCACATGACTCTAAATGCAGGTATTGGTCTAATCACATCCCCCCTCTGGGCCTCACTTTCCTCTCCGTGAAGAAGGGGGTTGGTGGTCCTTCCAAGTATGCTGCTTTGGTGTGGGGTGAGGGGGGAGTTTGGGGGGCCAGAGGAGCAGTTAAACTCCTGGGCTTTGGGGGTCAGGCAGGCCCCATATTTAAGTGGCCATGAGACTTCCGCTCTTCACTTCCATGTTTGCTAGGTGGGTATTGACCTAGACCCACCTACCAGGAGGAAGAGAGAATGCCCTTAAAGAATTTAGCACAGCTCCAGGCACTTAGGAAGCCCTCCATGGGCCCTGTTGCTTCTTGGCTTCCTCCCTGGCCCGGCCTGGGGTGCCGGAATGGAGTGGGGGGGGGTGCTGCTGCTGCTACGGGCTCCAGGGACTCTGCTGCTTTTCGGGCCTCCTCACCCCACACAGAGGCCAGTTTCTGTCTGCTCCCAGCACCGCCCCGCCCCCCACCCCGAGTCTCCACGCCCATCTCCCCACCTCCTGGAGGTCCTCTGTCAGGCCAGCCTCATCAAACCCCTGGATTTGTGGGAGGCAAGGAGGGTAGGTGCTAAATCCGGAGGCTGCTTTCTCTGCAGGCCGTCCTGCCCCGCCCCACCTGCTTCCACCCACTGTGAGATGAACGACACTCAAGACTTGGCCACTTTGCCCCCGGTTGCCACCCAGGTGAAGCTGGGGGGCTGGAGCCGTCCAGGTGGGGGGAGTGGGTCTGTCCATCAGCGCCCGCACCAGGAGCTCCAGGCCTTTCTCAACCTGCTGGGTGAGTTCACTTGGGGGCCGGCATGAAAGGGGCTGTGGGGCCTGGCATTGACATCAGGATGAGAGGTAGGATCTCACTTGCCCTCACTCACCTCTGAAATCTCTGTCCCTTCCCTTTGCAGGTGACCCCAGTGTGGCAAGGGGAAGGGAGGGGTCCTGGCAGAATGTGGGTTCAGCTGAGGCTTGGGCTTTGGAACCCTGAAGCCACTCTTGTCTTGTGGGGGCCGATGGTAACCCCAGTCCACCATCTCTCTTCTCTACTGCAGAGCACAGCTTCCTCCAGGAATTCCTTTCCAAAGATCCCTGTTTCCAGATTTCAGATAAGGTGAGGTGACACCGTGGGAGTAGAGCCCACTCCCCCACTCTTCTGTTCCTTCCTGTAACCTCTCCCCCTTTCTGGGTCTGCAGTATCTTCTGGCCATGGTGCTGGTCTACTTCCGGCGCGCCAACCTGAAGCTCCACGAGTACACCCACAGCAACCTGTTCCTGGCTCTGTGAGTGGCCAGGGCGGGCAGTGGAGACGCTAGCTGGGGGTTGTGGGATGTGGGTTGTGGGATGTGGGGGGGGGGCACAGGCTTATGGCCTCTGCTCGCTGCCCACCAGGTTTCTCGCCAATGACATGGAGGAGGATGTGGAGGACCCCAAATGTGTGATTTTTCTGTGGGCCCTGGGAAAAGACTGGCATCTCCGGGTGGCGGATTTCCTGCATCAAAGGGATAAGCTGTGGGCCCGGATGGGCTTCCGGGCCATGGTGAGCCGCGAGTGTTGTGAGGAGGTGAGGCCCCACCATCGTTCTGGGGTGGGGGGCACAAGGCTGGACCTCCCACCCCCTATTTACTATGTACTCTACTCACACCAGGTCATGGCCAAGGAGCCATCCCACTGGGCCTGGACTCGAGAGCGGCACCCCCAGCACGGTGGGGCTCAGAGGGGTCCAAAGGCCCAGGTCCTCCTTCCTGGGCCCCCCAGCCCCTCGCCACCTCCCTGTTCCCTCCATGGCCAGCCCCCTTCCCACAGCCAGTGCTGCCACCAGCCCCACCCGGTGCCTGTCTTATCCAAGTGCCCTTCCCCAAACCCTGAGTGGCATTGCCCTCCCCTCCAAGCTTGTCTCTCAGTGGCTGAAGACCCCTTGGCGGGGGGCTTCCTCATCATCCCGCCCCCCCAACTACAGCTGGAGCCGGGCACCTACACTCTCCACAGTGAGTTGGGGACAGCAGCTGGGGCTGGGCTTGGGAGCCTAGGAGGCAGGTGTGGGGCCTGATAAAATGGGAAGAAGGGACATAGGACCTGGGGCCCCTGTCCCAGCCCTGCCACCTCCTAGCTGTGTGCATGTGGTAAGTTTCTTCTCTGATGAGCCTCTTCGTCCTTTCTCCCCAGTCCTCCCGAAGCCTCCACCATGCCCTGGGTGCTGACACTTGCAGGATGAAGAGTAGCCCACTTGCTTGCCTGCTGACCCAAGGCCCACTAGCTATGGGCCCCCCACCCCAGCCTTCTGTCCTATTGACGTCAGGCTGGCTGAGCTGCCCAGGCCCCCTGTCACCTCCTCCCAGATGCACCCACTCTGACCCTGGCCCCTCTAATAAACTCGTGTCCATAGGACACCGACTGTGCTTAGGCCCTGGCCTGGCTCCTTGACCCAGGGCAGGGGTGGGGAGGGAATGGGAGGAGAAGGGGGTCTGCCAACTTTAAGCGCCAGTGATGGAGACTCATGAGTACAGGCTCTGATAACAATTCCCTTTTCCAGTGACGACCAGTCACCCAACCTCACTTTCCCTTCTATAACATCACCTGTGCATGTTGTCTGTGAGGTCGAATGACAAGAGGTATTCTTTTTTTAAAGATTTTATTTGTCAGAGAGAGAGAGCACAAGTCGGCAGAGTGGTAGGCAGAGGGAGAGGGAGAAGCAGGCTTCCCACTGAGCGAGGAGCCCCATGTGGGGTTCGATCCCAGGATCGACGTTTAAGCGACTGGGCCATCCAGGCGTGCCTGTTGTGAGGTTTGAGCACGGTAATCCTAGAAGTGTTTAGAAGTGTCTCAAGAATGGAGCTCGGAGGCAAGCCCTGGGTGTCACCAGTAGAGTGAGTGGCTGACTGGGGCAAGTCTGGAGGGGAGGGTGTGTTTGGGGAGCTGCTGGTCTGAAGCTGGTGAAGTCCACCAGCCCGGCCCCTCCTCCGAGGTCACTTTTATTTATTGCTAAATATACATTTAAGAAACATATTTTGAAGAAACTGTCAAACTGGTTTCCAGAGTGGTGACATCATTCTGAATTCCCACCAGTGGCCTTGGAGAGCTTCAGCTCTTTCACATCCTTGCCAACATGGTCAGTAGTTTTCTTTTCTTTTTAAAAAAGATTTTATTTATTTATTTGACAGAGATCACAAGTAGGCAGAGAGGCAGGCAGAGAGGGGGGGGGGGAAGCAGGCTCCCTGCTGAGCAGAGAGCCCGATGATGCGGGGCTCGATCCCAGCTCGATCCCAGGACCCTGAGATCATGACCTAAGCTGAAGGCAGAGGCTTAACCCGCTGAGCCACCCAGGTACCCCTCTCTCTGGTCTTTTATCTGCACCCCCTGCTTCCTCTCTTGCCCCCTCCAACCCACTCCCTTGCAACCTCCTTCTTCATCTGCACAAATCTGACAGCCTTCTATCCCTAGTAGAAGAAGATGGAAACTCCTATGGTTCACCTAGTCCCGCTATAACTCTCTCTCTCTCTCTCTCTGCTCAAGTTACATTATGCCTACTTTAGTTTCTCCACTGTGCCAACGCAGTTCCCCAACCTGGCATCTCCCCTATCCTCTCATACCTCCCTGTGTCTGATTTATGCCCACTCCTAACCCCTGGACTAGATAGGGCTTGGTATCAATTCTTCCTAATTATGGGGATCATAATTACATGAGTGAGCCCCTCCTTCAGAGGGGGTGTGGCCCCGGGTCTTCACCATCTTGGGCTCAAGTGAGCCCAGTCTGTGCACATATAGGAGATGGTCGGTGCCTATTTCATGAACAATCAAAGACAGTAGGAGTGATAGTTTTGTGAAGGTGATTCTGGGGACTGTGGGATATATAGGTCGACCCACATACCTCTCCAGAGCTTCTTTCTTCTTCCAGGCCCCCTTATTCCCGGTCATCTAGTTACAAGGAACACCTGCTGTTCCCCTCATTGCCATGTCTTCTCCCAGCCTCCCGCCCTTTGCATAAGCTGTGTTCCCCTGGGACACCCTCTCCAGCAATTCATTGCCTAGTTAACTAACTTCTACTTGTCCATCAGGGCTCAACTTCCCAACCACCAAAACCAGGGGACCAGGAGAGCCCATTCCCCCAGCGTGGGCTGGTGTGTCTTAGTCATGGGTCTCCCGCTGTGCAGAGGCTTTGGCAGGAAGGTTTAGCCAAGATTGGACACATGAATGCTGAATGGAGAAGAGCAAAGAGCCCTGGTTCCGGCCCCAGGTGAGGGGGCTCGGCAAGTTGCATCCTTCGGCCTCAGTTTCCCTCATCTGTAAAGTGAGGCTGTGAATGAGGTCGGGTTAAATCGGGGCTCTCACCCTTCTTGGGGTCATGTGTCCTAAAATCCTAGGAAAGGTGTGCACTGTTTCCCCAACAAAATGCTCGTGTATACATGGTAGGAGAGCGGCAGCAGCTGCTGGGCCCGGCCCCCGAGGTCAGCGAAAAGCCCTGAGCGGGGGGAACGCCGGTCCTCCACCCTCAGGCTCCGGGCTCTCCGACTTCTCCCAGCACAGCTCCGGAGGCAGGAGGCGGATCTGTCGGTCTAGCTTGGGCCCGCCGACCTGCCTGCAGCCTCTGCCGCCCCCTCCCGGGTAAGGCGGCATAAGGGCGCTCCCAGGTGGGTGGGCCGAGGACTCGGGGGCGCGGGCAGAGACGCCCACCTCTCGCCGGTTCCGGGTTCAAGAAACCCCCGAGCGCAAAAGGAAGATGGGTTCCCGCCATTGCCGGGCTCCGTCCCATTCTCGCCGCACACACCCGGGAAACCGAGGCCGGGAGGGGCCGGGACTCGCCCAAGGTCGCGCCGCGAGCGGGCCGGGGGGCGCGCGGAGCCGCTCGGGCAGGGTTGGAGGCGCCCCGAGCTGGGGTCACGGGGGCGGGTAGTGGGTGGCGGCGCGGAGCGGGGCTGCCGCGCGGCCCCGGCTGCCGTGTGGCCCGCGTCCGGCAGGGGTGCGCCCGCCGCCAGCCCGGCCCCTCCTCCGAGGCAATCTCAGCCCCGCGCTGGGGGCGCGGCGGGGCGGGCGGGGGGCGGCGGGAGGCGAGGCGTGCTGAGCCCCGGGGAATGCCCTCCGGGGGCGCCGCCTGGGGTGGGGCGGCCCGGCCCTGCAACTCGAGCCGCTGCCCCGGGTTAAAAATACCCCCGGCCCTGCCCTCCCCCGCGCTCCCCTCCTCCGCCCCCGCGGTGCCCTTCCGTCTGGGCCGCAGCGGCCCCTCCCCGGGCACCGCTGTGCCTTTCGCTAATCTGTCCTCGCGCGGGCTCGGCGGCGGTGGGAGGGGCGGGGAGACCCCGGGAGAGAGATAGCCGGAGAAGGGGACGCCGAGATAAGGGGGAGCCGAGGGGAAGCCGGGTAGGAGGCCGAGGAGGAGCTGGAGGAGGGAGGGGGAGAGGAGGGCGGAGGGGCCGCGGGAGGAGGGCGGGGAGGAGCGCTCTTCCTGGTTGGGCCCTGCCCTGAGCCGCCACCCGGGAAGGCAGCCGCAGGGACTGCAGCGATCCCCCAAACACTGCTCCCCCAGGTAAGGAGCTGGGTGGCCGTGCCAGGATTTCCCGACCTCTGGCCACTGCTCTCGGGCTGAGGGGCTGCCCCCTGCGCCGGGTCTTCTGAGTGCCCGGGACAGGGGCGGCGGCTCGGGAAGCGGCTCAGCCCAGGCAGCCGGCCCAGCTTGCGCTCACCACTGTCTCCAGGGGCTGGGCTGGGGGAAGGCCGGAGGGGTCGGGACCGAGGCCTGGCAGCCCTGGATCACCCAGCCCGTCTCAGGGCGCTGGGGACGGGGTCCCTGGCTGCCTGGAGTTCTCAGCCTCCCAGTCGGGTAAAGGGGCCCGTGCCTAGGAGCTTGGCTGTTTGGGGAAGGGGTTCCTGTCATCTCCCGGCTCTGCCTTGCCCCACCTGCCGGGCCGGCTGAGCCCAGCACTGCGGCCCCGACAATGGAAGGGGAGGTGGTAGCATTATGTAGAGTTGGGGAGGGGTTGGCCAGTGCACCGAGGAGCGGAACAGCCCCGCTCCTGGTTTCTGGGGGCATAAGGAGGTGGCAGAGTCCTGGGTTCTGTGAGGGGAGCAGTGAGGTGGGGAAACCCCAGGTTTGGAAAGCACGGGTGGCCAGGGGCAGGCAGGAGCCCCAGTTCTAGCTCTGGGAAGGCCTGGGTTTTGAGCACGCTGGTGTGTCCTGCAGGATGGCTGAGGAGCTCATCACCGCCGTGTACTGCACCGGGGTGTCTGCTCAAGTGCAGAAGCAGCGGGCCAAGGATCTGGGCCTTGGCCGCCATGAAAACGCCATCAAGTACATGGGCCAAGACTATGAGCAGCTGCGGGCTCACTGCCTGCAGAGTGGGGCCCTCTTTCGTGACGAGGCTTTCCCCCCAGTGCCCCAGAGCCTAGGCTACAAGGACCTGGGCCCCAACTCCTCCAAAACCTATGGCATCAAGTGGAAGCGTCCCACGGTGAGCGGGACCCCCTCCCTGGGTGGGATTCTGTTTACCCCTGTCCTGGGTGAGGAGTGGGACTAGGACTCTAGGTCCCTGGTGGGGAGTGGACTGTGGGGCGGCTGGGTTCCAGTTTCTGGGGGGGCTGGCCCAGAGACCGACTCGGGTCTCTTGCAGGAGCTGCTCTCGAATCCCCAGTTCATTGTGGATGGAGCCACCCGCACAGACATCTGCCAGGGAGCCCTGGGTAGGCCCTTGGTGGGGGCGGGGGGAGGTGGTGGTTCTGGGTGTTTTTTCCAGAGTAGTTCCCCCTGCCTGTTCCTTCCGGCTCTGCCCTAACCCCTCCCTCCCTCCTGCAAGCTCAGGCAGGTTCTGGCTATCAGCGCTGGGCTGGTTTGCCTAGATTCCTAGGTTGGGTCTCTTTGTTGAGGGACATGGCGCCCAGGGAATCCCAGGTTCTTCCAGGCATGGCATCCATGCTTCCCGGGGAGCAGATGTGCAGAGCAGTCCTGATCGGGTCCCTCCCATCCCAGGGGACTGTTGGCTCCTGGCTGCCATTGCCTCCCTCACCCTCAATGACACGCTTCTGCATCGAGTGGTTCCACACGGCCAGAGCTTCCAGAATGGCTATGCCGGCATCTTCCATTTCCAGGTGAGGAGCCCCGGACCCACCTAGGACCAGGGCGTGGGGGGAAAGGGGGTAGCAGGCCCTGGAGGAGGTGAGGACCGGTGACTCACAGCACTCTGATGTTAGGGCAGCTTAAGTCCACACCCTGCGGGGATCAGTCCTCCCTCTAGAAAGAATTTGACCTCTTGATGCCATCTCAGATCTGTCATGTGTGAAACGGCTGGGCAAGGCAGGTATTTCGGCTGGCGGCTTTCCCTTGTGGTTGTGGATATCAGGAGGAAAGTGCTCGGAGGAATCGAGAGATCTCTGTAGTATTTCCTGTGGGACAAATGCTTTTCCTCCACAGGGTCTCAGTGTCCCATCTGAAGAATGGATAGTGTTCCCCTGGGGGAAAACAGACCAGCACAGGTGGCCAACCCCACCGGTGGCGCAAGTGGCCCCCCTTCCCCACCTCCTCCTGCACTTTGGCAGCCTCTAGCCTCTGACAGAGCCCTGCAGAGAAGAAAGAAGGGATTAAATCTGTTTAAACCTGCTACCCCCCCTTTCTAAAAGATTTTACTTATTTATTTGACAGAGATCACAAGTAGGCAGAGAGGCAGGCAGAAGGAGAGGGGGAAGCACGCTCGCTCCTGAGCAGAGAGCCTGATGTGGGGCTCGATCCCAGGACCCTGAGGTCATGACCTGAGCTGAAGGCAGAGGCTTAACCCACTGAGCCACCCAGAGCCCGCCTCCCCCCCGCCCCATTCCCTTTTTGCACACAGAGCCCATTTCTCAAGTCACATTAAGGAATTCTCAGTCAGCTGATGCTGGGAGAGAGAAACCCCCATCAACCCTGGATTAGACCCTCCGGCCCTCGTGGCCCCAACCCTGCCCCGGGGATTCCGGGGCCCTCTTCCCTCTGGCCTGTTCATGGGGTCCTTTTCCCTGTTCCATCCTGCCCTGGGCCTGAGCGGCAGACCAGAGGTGCTTAGGGTTGCACCTGCAGGGTCCCGCTTGCAGGAGTGTGGCCTCGCTGCCCCGCCCCCTTCCCTCCCTGGCCTCTTGATTGGCCTGTTCCATACGCCCGTCCCAAACTCCTAACTACTTGGGCCCGCTTCCTCTCCTTGCCAGGCTGTTCTGCACTCCTTCCCACCTCCCTGGCACACTGGCCCAAGGCTCTTGATGTCTCTGGCCCTGGGAAGCCTGTCTCTCCCGCCATCTCTGAAGCAAACCCATGAATGCGGGAACCGCATCCATCTCGTGGTCTAGACGCCACATTTTTTGATCCACACTTCATTTACATGTGTATCCTGTCGCGCACCACCTCCAGACACACATCCGGACCTAGAATGACCTAGAATAAGACCTAGAATGCAGAAGGGAGGGGACTAGGTCCACGAGAGCCAAGCCCCCAGGGCCTTCCAGTCTCTCCATACCCGAGAAAGCACCTTGGCCTGTTTCCAGAGTATCAGTAAGGCTGCCCTAAAAACTTTTTAGCTCTGTGAGCATGGTTTGTTTTCCCTTGAAGAAGGCTCCACTTTTCCCTTTTCTGGCCAAGGAAACAGGCTCGGAGAGGCCACCTCGTTCAGGCTCCTAGATCTGGGGTGCGTGGGAGCAAATGGTAGGGCTCAGGTGCTCACCGTGCTCTCGTCCCCTCCAGCTGTGGCAGTTTGGGGAATGGGTGGACGTGGTCGTGGATGACCTGCTGCCCATGAAGGATGGGAAGCTGGTGTTTGTTCACTCTGCCCAAGGCAACGAGTTCTGGAGTGCCCTGCTCGAGAAGGCCTATGCCAAGTGAGTAGGGGCCACGGGTCATGGCGGGGGACCCTGGGGCCTTGTTTGCTGCCGGAGCGCTGACCTGGGGCTGCCCGCAGGGTGAACGGCAGCTATGAGGCCCTCTCCGGGGGCAGCACTTCAGAAGGCTTCGAGGACTTCACAGGCGGGGTCACCGAGTGGTATGAGCTACGCAAGGCACCCAGCGATCTCTACCAAATCATCCTCAAGGCCCTGGAGCGGGGGTCCCTCCTGGGCTGCTCCATTGATGTGAGTGCACCCAGCCTTGACCCCGAGCGCTCCCCCCCACCCCGTGACCTGTCTTCTCTTCCAGCGGTTTCCTTTTCTAGCCCAGCCCAGGGCCTTGTCCTGGGCCCAGACTTGGCTCCAGACCCATCACCTCACCCCATCGCTGGATTCTCACCCAGCCTCGTCCGTCACCTCAGTCCTGTCTGCCGCCTCCGTGGCTGGTGTCATTCCTGTCCCCCAGACCTCAGACAGACAGCTGGTTTTCCTCCCTTCTGCTGCCTGGTGCTGTCGGCCGGTGCTGTTCACCGCCCCCTCTGCTGCTCTTCTGTCCTCACCACTTCCCCTGACCTCAGGCTCCTCCCCCTACATCACTGCATCCTCAGCTCTAACCCCATCCCCGCTCTCCCCTTCTCCCCCAGCCCTCGCTGACTCAGCCTGTCCTCACCCCCTTCTCCACCTCACCGCATCCCTCTACATGAGGGCCTTGGGGCTCTGGGGGAGCACACGCTATGTGTGTGTGTGCACGTGTGTGTGTACACGGGGTCTGGCCAGCTCTGGCCAAAGCAGTGTCAGTGGGCTGCCCAGGCCACCCCGCCAGTGGTGGCATTGGAGGAGTGACCCTTCCTTTCCAGGGGTGAAGTGTATGTGGGGGCATTAGGCAGAGTCAGGGTCCCCGCCTGCCACTCTCAGTGGCTGTTGTATGTGCATGGGGGATGTCTGGGACCTGTGATGCTTGGGGGTCACCTCCTGACTGGGGATCGGGGTGCCTATGGTCCCTGGAACCTGGCCCCTGACCACAACACTTGTGTTGCTGTGCAGATCTCCAGCGTTCTGGACATGGAGGCCATCACCTTCAAGAAGCTGGTGAAGGGCCACGCCTACTCTGTGACAGGGGCCAAGCAGGTAGCAGCCCACATGGGGGCCTTCCCTGGTGGTGGTTCCCGCCTTCTCGCTTGCCTTCGCCTGTTTGGCCTGTGACCAGGACGTGGGGGAGGGGCTGGCTCTTAGACCTCCCAAAGCGTCTTACTTGTGTCTCGTGGCCACGATCTTGAGATGTTTATCTTACTCTGCCCTGATTTTTGGTAGCTTGTGTGTATAGCTGCCTCCCTCCATGGTAAATTCCTAGAGAATGGGCTGTATTTCCCCTGCTGCGGTGCTGGGCGCTGAGCAGGGCTCCTGAGGGCGAAGGGGCGGGAAGTGACGTTTGCCAGAAGCGGGCACTGATGGGAGCTCTGGGGAACAGGTGAACTACCAGGGCCAGATGGTGAGCCTGATCCGGATGCGGAACCCGTGGGGCGAGGTGGAGTGGACGGGAGCCTGGAGTGACGGGTGAGGGGCAGCGGACCCTGGCCGGGGCGGCTGGGGGAGGCTGGTCGGGGCTGCCAGCGTCTGTGCTGGGGCTGTGCTCAGGAATGACTGGGGGGGGGGGGCGGTTGGAGGGCATCTCTGTGTTACTGGTTCTGGGGGACTGTCCCGACACAGTTCAGGGCGAGCATCCTTGGAGCTGGCCTTCCTGTGACAACCCCTAGAATTGGGACATTGGGCTGGACCACGCGGAGGCCTTCTGACTGGGGCTCAGGGAGGAAGGGCTCTGGGGACAAAGGCCGCCGGTCAGTCCTGCCAGCAGCTGGCAGCGCCCTCTCCCCCCAGCTCCTCGGAGTGGAACAGCGTGGACCCTTATGAACGGGAGCAGCTCCGGGTGAAGATGGAGGATGGAGAGTTCTGGTGAGTGGCCCCCGCCCCGTCCGGCCCCTCTGGGACTTGCGCTCCAGCTCCCGAGCCCCACGATCCCCACACCTGCCCCCTCCCTCTGTGCCCTGGCTGTGGACCGGGGCTCAGCTCTGTTCCGGGACCTCAGGATGTCCTTCCGGGACTTCATGCGTGAGTTCACGCGCCTGGAGATCTGCAACCTGACGCCCGATGCTCTCAAGAGCCGGTCCATCCGCAAGTGGAACACGATGCTGTACGAGGGCACCTGGCGGCGGGGGAGCACTGCGGGCGGCTGCCGCAACTACCCAGGTGACCCGACCTTGCGGCCTGCGGGGCACCCTGGGGGGGCCCGGCTGCCTCCTAGCTCGCTCACCTTGCTCCCCGCGTGTCTCCTCCCCAAGCCGCGGTTTTTCTCATTTGTGAGATGGCGTGGCTGTGCTGACCTCTGAGATTTTCTCGAGGGGCATCCTTTACTCCTCATTCTGGAACCTTCCCTCCTGGCTTGCTGTCTTCCTGCCTGGGCCTCTGGCACTGTTCCCTGGGCTTCTGAATCCATGCAGGTGACGTGGGCCACAGCCTGGGCTCTCCATTCCTCCCCATCCGCACCTGCAGCGGCCCTTTCTTCCGCCTTAGTTCAGGCACCCCCCGAAGGCCCACCGGAGCCTGGCCAGACCTCGCAGCCTGACCTCTGCCGTGAGCTTTGGGCCCCCTCCTCCCGCGGCCCTCAGCCTCATCTAACCGTCTGGTCCGTGAAGCCCACTGTTGCTCTTTCCTTCCCCAGTCGTTGTGTCTTTTCTTCTCACCAGTTAGTCACCGTGGTCATCTTGTCCCCGCAGACACTCTGGCTCCCGGCTCCCTTTGCTCCTCCCCCTCCCCCGCAGAGTCGCAGCTGCAGGGCCACCGAGGGGCTGGAGGGAAAATCACACAACGGGGGCAGCATTTTCCCTGTGAATTCACAGCCGGGGCCCTCAGCGGACCGCTTTGCTTGGTTCCCGCCAATTCCCTTGCCAGTCAGGAACGCTTCCACTCCCTCAGACCTTCCTCTGCGGTTACTCCCGTCTGCGGACCTGGCCTTCACTTGAGGGATGCCTCTACGTCCCGCAGGGCACCTCTGGTGTTCGGCCCGCCCGTCTTGGCCTATGCCCGTCACTACTGCTCTCTTGACTGTGACAGTGACAGAACTGCCCGTGCTCATGGGGGGCCACCCCTGCCCCTGCTCTGGCTCCCGTTCTCCCACGTGTCTGAAAGCCTTAGGCTCCGTCATCCGTCACCCCCGGCCCCTCTTCTCTGTTATGGAGAATCCCCCGTCTTAGAGCACCTCTCTCGTGACCGCATTTCCCCACCCATTGCTCTGCTCCCCTTTGAAGCAAAATGTTCTCGTTTGCTGCACTCCCCGTTTCCTTTTCAGCTTCCAGTTCAGATTTTTTTTTTTAAATACTTTATTTATTTATTTGAGAGAGAGAGAGAGAGACAGTGAGAGAGAGCATGAGCGAGGAGAAGGTCAGAGGGAGAAGCAGACTCCCCGTGGAGCTGGGAGCCTGATGCGGGACTCGATCCCGGGACTCCAGGATCATGACCTGAGCCGAAGGCAGTCGCTCAACCAACTGAGCCACCCAGGCGCCCCATTCCAGTTCAGATTTTTAACCCACTGTGGTCTAGCTTCCTTCCTCACCGTGCGACCTCTTTGGAAAACCACCCATATCTTTGGCTTACCCAGACCCCCCCGCCGCCCACTGCTCTGTTCCCATGTCCCGTGTCCTCTGTGTTCCCAGCATGGCTCATAGCCCTGTTTTGAAGCATTTTTTCCTCCTTGGGGGATCCAGTTCCAGTTTTTCCTCAAATAGGCAATAGCTGTGCCCTGCATCATTTATTAAGAAAACTCTCTCCTTTTCTCCCTGCGGTGACGCTCCATCCGATAGTTCCCGTATCCGTGTGGGTCTCCTTCTGGACTCACTGTTCCATCCCTTGGTTTTCCCCTTCTGCAGATAGCATGTTGATTTCATTGCTAGAGATCTGCAAGAAGTCCTTTGGGGGCGGGGCGAATGCCTTCAAGAGTCTCTTAGCTATTCTTGCCCTCTGTTCTCTTGTATGAATTTTAGAATCAGCTACTAAGCCTTACAGAGAATCATTTTGAGACTTTATGTGGAATTGCGCTGACACTATAGATGGATTTGGGGAGAACTGATATCTTTAAAGCTTTGAGTCGTCTTATCCAAGAATGTGGCATATCTCTGTTTTGGTCTTCTTAGTGTCTTTCAATGAAATTTTATAATTTTCATCTAGAAGACTTAAATATCTTTGAGATTAATTACTAGGTACTGTATCATCTTGTTGCTATTATAAATGGCATCTCTTAAAATTCTGTTTCCCAAATAATACAGTAACATGCACTTGACCTTTTAAATTTATTTTGTATCCAGCAATCTTTTTTTTTTTTCCCCGATAGTGCATGGGGCAAGAGAGTAGTTGCGGGGTGGGGGCGCAGGAACAGAATCTTAAGCAAACTTCATGCCCATAGGGCTCGATCTCATGATGCTGAGATCATGACCTCAGCTGATATCAAGAGTCAGACACTTAACCTACCGAGCCACCCAGGTGCCCCTCCAGCAAACTTTTTAAACTATAATTTTTTTTAAAAAATATTTTATTGGGGCACCTGGGTGGCTCAGTGGGTTAAGCCTCTGCCTTCGGCTCAGGTCATGATCTCAGGGTCCTGGGATCGAGCCCCGCATCGGGTTCTCTGCTCGGCAGTGAGCCTGCTTCCCCCTCTCTCTGCCTGCCTCTCTGTCTACTTGTGCTCTCTCTCTCTCTCTCTGTCAAATAAATAAATAAATAAAATCTAAAAAAAAAAAAAATTTTATTTATTTGAGAGAGAGATAGTGACAGAGATAGTTAGAGCACAAGCTGGGAGGAGAGGGAGAAGCAGGCTTCCCGCTGAGCAGGGAGGCCGATGCGGGATTCGATTCCAGGACCCTGAGATCATGACCTGAGCCAAAGGCAGATGCTTAACGACTGAGCCACCCAGGCACCAGTGATTTTTTGTATACCTGCAGTGTTGGGCCGTCACCACCACTATCTAATGCCAGAACCTTTTCATTACTCCCCAAAGAAACCTTGTATCCATAAGGAGTCACTCCCTCCCTCCCTCTCTCTCTCTAAGCCCCTGGGAACCACTACTCTACATTTTGTCTCTGCAGGTCTTTGTCTTCTAGGCATTGTTGTAAATAGGATCATACAACGTGTGGCCTTTCGTGCCTGGCTTCTTTCCCTTATCGTAACGTTTTCAAAGGCTGTCCCTGTGGCAGCATGCTTCCAGATTTCTTTTTTATGGCTGAAAAATACTCCACGGTGTGTATAATACCACGTTATGCTCATTCAGTCATCGGTTGTTGGACATTGAGATTGTTTCTAGTTTTGGGCTCTTACAAGTCATACTGCCACGAACATTCATGTACCTGTATTTGTGGGAGCAGATGTTCCCTTGGGTCTCTTCTTAGGAGCGAAATTGTTGGGTTGCATGGTAACCCCATTTTGACTCTGAGGAACTGCCACCTGTTTCCTAAAGTGACAGCACCATGGTGCATTCCCGCCAGCGCTGTCAGAGTTCCAGTTTCTCCACATGCTTGTCAACACTTGTCATTGACCAGGTTTTTTACTGTAGCTGCCCCTGTGGGCATAAAATGGCATCTCATTGACAGTTTGCATTTCCCTAATTATGAATGATGTCAGTAAGAATGTCTTCTCATGTATTCATCGACCACTTAAGTATGTTTTTTAGAGTTGCTATTCAAATAGTTTGATCATTTTAATTTAATTTAATTTAATTTAATTTAAGATTTTGATAATTTGACAGAAAGAGTGAGCACAAGCAGGGGGAGTGGCAGGCAGAGGGAGAGGGAGAAGCAGACTCCCCGCTGAGCAGGGAGCCCAGTGTGGAGCTTGATACCAGGACCCTGAGATCATGACCTGAGCTGAAGGTAGATGCTTAACCGACAGAGCCACCCAAGCGCCCCTCTAGAAGGAGTTCAGTTAACTTTGCCAAGATTCATCAGAGGAATCACTGTCTTCCTTACAAAATGTATTTCTTAAGTATTCAGACTTGAAAGACTTAAGCAGAAAGACTTGAAATTACTCCTTGATCCGGCAACTGCAGAATGGGTACTATGCTAGGCATGAAAATAACATTAATCTCATTGTGTGTCCCCATCAGAGTTCTTGGGTGACCAGGTGGATTGTCATATTTCGAAAGGAACCTTATGAGCAGGAGATCTCAGCAGTGGTCTTAAAATGTTTGTAAATGATGTTGTGAACAGATGAGCTGCCGCACAGGCTTTGTTATTCCATTTAAAGAGCACAGCTGGGGGCACCTGGCTGGTTAAGTAGGAGGAGCGTGCAACTCTTGATCTCCGAGTCGTGAGTTTGAGCCCCAGGTTGGGTGTAGAGATCATGTAAAAAAAAATTAATAATTTAGAGGGCACAGACAGAGTAGATTTGGCATAATTCTAAAGAGCCCTAGGATTTTTGGAATAGTAAATGAGCACTGCCTTCAACTTAAAGTTACCAACTGTGTTAGCCCCTACTGAGAGAGTCAGCCTATCCTTTGAAGCCTTGAGACCAGGCATTGACTTCTCCTCTCCAGCTATGAAAGTCACAGATGGCATCTTCCTCCAAATGAAGGCTGCTTTGTCTATACTGAAAATCTGTTGGTGAGTGTAGCTGCCTGCATTCATGCTCTCAGCTTTATCTGCTGGGAACTTGCTGCTGCTGCTCCTACTTGTGTCTCCTGGCACCTTCATGTTACGGAGTTGGCTTCTTTTCTCAAATGTATGAACAAACGTCTGGTGCCTTCAGACTTTCCTTCTGCTGCTTCGTTAACTCACTCAGCTTTCCTGGAACTGGAGAGAATTAGGACCTTGCTCTGGATTAGGTCTTCACCTAGGGAATGTTGGGGCTGGTTTGATCTTTTGTCCAGACCACTAAAACTTCTTATCAGTGATAAGGTTATCTCACTTTCTTATTGTGTGTTCACTGGAATAGTGCTTTTATTTTTTTTAAAGATTTTATTTATTTTGAGAGAGAAAGAGAATGCACACGGGCCCACGAGCTGGAGAGGGGTAGAGGGTGAAGGAGACTCCTCGCTGAGTGGGGGGTCTCATGCGGGGCTCAGTCCCAGGATCCAGGGATCATGACCTGAGCCGAAGGCAGACGCTTAACCCACTCAGCCACCCAGGCGCTCCTGGAATAGCCCTTTCCGTTTCCTTCAAGAATTTTTCCTTTGTAGTCACAACTTGGCTGTTTGATGCAGGAGG